TGGATAGATGGCTGGCTGGCTGGCTGGATGGATGGATGGATGGATGGCTGGCTGGCTGGCTGGCTGGCTGGCTGGCTGGCTGGATGGATGGATGGATGGATGGATGGATGGCTGGCTGGCTGGCTGGCTGGCTGGCTGGATGGATGGATGGATGGATGGATGGATGGCTGGATGGCTGGATGGATGGATGGATGGCTGGCATGTATTCACAGCCACACGTTGCATGTGTTGTCTCTGAATACCAACAAAAACAACAAGTATGGATATAAAGTTATAAGAAAGATAAAAATAGAGAAAGAGCGTGAAATGAGGAATATTTTCATAAAATCAGAGTGGGCCAGTGAACCATGACATTTAAACGTGTTGGCCCAAGGATCCTGTTTTGCAATGCAAATGAGTGTTGAAGCATAAAAAGCTCCGGGTCTTGTTCCACTTCGCTGTACAAAACAGATTTTTTTTTTTTTATAAATAGATAAAAGCAACAAAAAAAAAAAGTTTAAACCTCTGTAATTATAGTTACACGTTGAAAAATAAACAAATTGTACACGTTGTCTACCGTCATCCTGGGGACTTGTAAGTAGACTCAGGAATTAAAATTAACAACAGGGAAAACAGTTTGTTGACGTGTGAGGACAGAAACCAGATGTCTTCTCTGAAGAGTTGAGTGTTAGTCCCAGGGTCAATTAAAGTCAAGATGTTACAAAATATACTGATTTTAGAGGTGCACTTGTGTTTCATACAGGTTGGAACAAGAGAAACGAGGAAAAGACAAGTGAACTGAGGTGGAGAGTGGGCAGACAGGTCCTTCACAGGAATGGGCCGTTCGATGTGTATTGTTTGTATCTGAGTGAGACACGGAGTAAAAGGCGCCGTGGCTCTTTGACACGTCCTTCTGTCCATCTAGAATCATGATACCGAAAAGAGACAACATGACATCAAACAACACTGATTTCACGAGGAATCAATAAATGCTTTTTCATTGATATGTTCCTTTTAAGATGTATATTTTTAAAGATTTTTACCTGGATAATTAA